TGGGCAGCATAGAAGTTTAATAAAATAATAATAATAATAATAATAATAATAATAATAGTTATTATTATTATTATTATTAGTGTGAATGCACCTGATGAAATTCTTATTTATAACAAAGTTGCATGATCTTGTCATGGAAGATAATGGTCTTATCTCCAAGTGAATGCTTGAGCCAAATCAAAATGGTTGCTATTGCATTCAAGTATCCGAGTTTGCAACAATCTGTAAAGAAAAAGCTCCTGTCCCCCCTGTAGCTTTGAGAAAGGATGACATTCAGCAGATGCAACAGCCTCTATTCAAATGAAGAAGATGAGTCTGCTGGATCTTTGCCTATCTCAGAATGCATTTCTAATTCTTGCATTTTTCCCACATGGAAGCTGGTCACAGCCTGGATTGGAGAATAATAGCCTGAGAAAGGAAAATCTGAAATCTATTCTCTTGTCCCAGCCTGATCCCTTCCTACAGACATTTAGAATTGTCTTTCTCCTCGCAAGACACATTAAAATGGATACTGAAAAGGTGGCAGGGATTTTGGTTTAGCCACAAGATGTTTCTGCTTTGGGATGTAAGGCCTTATTTTATTCCTTAGTCTCCATGCTGCTGGAAATGAACTTGTTTAGTGAAAACATTTGGAGACAAAGGGCTCTTCCGCATGCCAGGATCAGTGCACCCTTGCATATGCCTATAATGCCATTTACCTCCCAGTGGTCTTTGCACTTTGAGCTGATTAACTTCAGTTGTTAATTACCCCACCTGGTGTTCCAAGGAGAATGCAGTCAAGATGGATTTGTGGTATTTTCTCCATAGCTGCGCAGTGCAAAATTCCTCCTTAGAGGAAATTTCTACCAAGCCACAGCTCCTAGTTCCAGGGATTTCCCTTCTATTCCTGAAGTGAAAACACCATTGTTCCTTGCTACCATTCTTCTCTCGCAGGCAATCAGTAGAGGAATTTCTTGGAGTTATTTACTGTTTTCTCGGCCCAGAAAGCAGTGAGGGAGAAACAAGCAAGGAAGCAGAATCTCATTAGCTGCCATTTTTAGACCATTCCCTCCTCTCCAATTCCTCTCTGGAGTTACATTGGCCAGTTTTAGCAAGAAGCAAGAAAATACATGTAATACAGCACTGCAAGGATGCTGCTGGTATTGGGAGGCAAAATATCTGGGTGATCCTCAGTATTCTCTTTTTATTTGCATCCCTATGAAGCTGCAGATATTGTTGTTGTTGTTGTTTAGTCGTTAAGTCGTGTCCGACTCTTCGTGACCCCATGAACCATACTGCGCCAGGCCTTCCTGTCCTTCACTGCCTCCC